TTAATATATTTATATGTCAAGTAAAAGTTTTTGAATAAATATAATATATGTTTTAAAAGATAATATTTTTTTTGTAAAAAATGAACAATTCTTATTTTCCTTTTATCAAAAAACACATATTTTTTAAAAATATTAGCGAGATAAGTTGAGTTGTACTAGTTTTATTGATATTAGTATATTAATGAATAATTTAAAATTTTTTTATTTCATTTAATATATTTATTAAATAACATGTAAAATATCTAAATATTAAATTAAAAATAAAGTTTTTATTAAAAACTAGTAGATGTTATAATAAAATAATTTTGAAAGTACAATGATGTAGTAAGAAAGTCACGTCACTATAGTATATGTGGACAGCCTACGTGGACAATGAGGTGGCATGGAAACATGATATAATGGGTAAATTCAAATAAAAAGGTTACCCAATATTATAATCGGTAAATTTTTCAAAGGACAATGTCCTAATAAAAAATAGTTTGAAAGTAAATTGAAGTTATAAGAAAAACTGGAAGTACAATGCTATAAAAAAATTTATGAAAGTAGATAGTTATTTTGTGCATTTTGTCCAAAAGGTTATAACACATTCAACTTCAATGTTAAAAAATATTAAAATAATATCTCTCTTCTCGATATTATATTTTAGATATTTCTCGAAGTTTAATTTTTTTTTTTTAAATTTTGTCTTCATTTTAGCATAACTGTTGGAGGAAAAAACCTTACTCCAACACTAGTACTTATTACCAATATTGTATTTGAATCGGGTTTCGTTGAGAAGCGTAAAAAGGGATTTCCACCATTTGATGCACCAGATCAATCTCCATATCAAACGCGATTCTTGAGCATGTTCGGGGCTAAAAGTGATCAACGGTCGAGATCTCTTCTTACACTTTTCAGATTAATTAACCCTCGTTATCACAAGATGATTTGACTTTTGTGCGTATCCCTATTTTCCACTTTTGTCCCGATAAATTATTGTAACTCTACCCCCCTGCGTGACTTCTTGTTTCCAGAGAGGCGAAATTCAAGAATGGTTAGCAACTCTCTACACAAGATTTTGTCCATAAATTGACCTTGAAATCTCATCATTTCCAACACAAAAATCCCACAAATCAACCCTACTCCTCTGTCAAAGATGTGGAGTTTCTTCTCATTTGACGTTTTCATTTACACATCACTCTTGTTTCTAGGTGCTGCCTTTCTCCTCATTAGATTTCGCACTCGTACACTACCAACCACCATAAAAAAACCGCCACCTTCACCACCCCGGTTGCCTATTATCGGCAACCTCCACCAGATGTCTGAACTCGTCCACCACTCGTTTTTCTCTCTAGCAAGACGTTATGGTGACTCACTCATGCTCCTCTACATAGGATCAGTCCCATGCCTCGTGGTCTCGTCAACCGAAGCAGCGCGTGAAATCATGAAAACCCACGATATCGCATTCGCCAGCAGGCCAAACACAAGGATGTTTAGAGCTATCTCGTATGATCTCAAGGAAATAACAGTGGCTCCTTATGGTGAATACTGGAGGCAAGCAAAAAGCATTCTAACCCTCCAGCTTCTAAGTAACAAAAAGGTCCAAACTTTTGCTGGATTGAGGGAAAAGGTAATCAACGAATGCGTGCATAAAATCACCCACTGTTTCTTGTCTAACAAACCCGCGGATTTAAGCGACTTGTTTAGCTCACTTACAAATGATATTACATGTATGGCTACGTTTGGGAGGACTTATAATGAAGGGGAGATTGGGAGGAAATTCAAGAAGGTTTTACAAGAGTTTTCGGAGGTACTTGGTAGCTTTTACTTTGAGGATTCGATTCCTCAGCTTGCGGTGCTCGATCGTGTTAGAGGTTTGAGTGCTAAAGTCGATAGGGTTGCAGTAGATTTTGATGAGTTCTTGCAGGGTGTAGTTGATGAGACCTTATCCAAGAGAAGCAGAAACCCTAATCCAGTTGGTGAAGATGGCGTGGAAACTTTCATTGAAGCACTGCTCAATGTTCAAAAGGAAGATATTATTGGCATCACCATTGACGCAGATGTCATCAAAGCACTCCTCTTGGTATATCTTTTCATATCTAGATCTTAGTCTTCATCTTTTGTCATATCACTATAACAAATCATAGGCTCCTTTATAAGATTTAAGATTATAAAATTAAACAATGGTTCATCTAGAGTGTAAAGGTGTTACAATACAACAAAATCGGGTATCTAAGCCATCAATGGTGTCTAACGGGCCGTTAACCAAACACTTACCCCGGTCGGTAAAATCTAGCACTATCATTTACTTACCAGATAAGAATTTTGTTCATCAAAGCGGTATCGTATGCAAGAATTTACCTTGTAAGTTGTAAACGCTTACCGTGGTAAGAGTCGTCGCTGGGTAAGAATCTTGGTCATTGTCTCGTTTTTACCAGGTAAGGTAAGGTAAGGTAAGGTAAGGTAAGATAAGATTCTTGGTCATTATCATATTCATCCGATAAGGTAATGTGACTTAGTGTTTCCTTATCCGAGTAAGCGTGAAGTAAATAACCCTAAATGTCTTAATATACCATTTTATAAGATTTTAGTTTAGAGAAACAAAATAAATTTTTTATCTAAAAGTATTGTAAGAAAAGTAATAGGATGTTTTTGGGTGTGTTAAAAGATTTTTAGAACATTTTTTAAATAAAGTGTCATAAAACTATTTTATAAGACATTTTCCATATGTCTCTACAAACCTACCTTTTATGTAGGACATTTGTTTTATAAAACACTCTCTAAAATAGCTAATGTGATAGTTTATGTAGAAAAATATTTTAAAAAACTTTCTATAAAACATTTTAGCTTATACATTAATTTAAATTATTTTATTATTTGGTCTAATAATTTAAGTATTATAAAACAGTTTATTAAAATACTTATACATTGTTAACAGTCTATAAAACGAATTTTGTTATAGTGTCAATTGACGCTTTTTGGGTGTTCCAACATGCTTTTTAGAAATGCTCTATATTAGTTTTTTTATAAGAAATTATTAGAAAACAATATTATAAAAACAAATGTCCTTTGAAACAATGTTTTAATAAGAGAGTTTCCAAAAATGTTCTCTAAAAGAATAATACGACATGTTGTTTAAAAAATGTATTGAAAGGCTTGTTAGAACGTGAAAATACGTCCTAACATTCTATTGTAACACTTTTAGTAGTACGTACAATTAATTTATCTTATAAAGCAAAATAGCATATTATAAGACATGTAGATACATTTTTATCGTCCTATAGAGTGGTTTTATAGTGTACATTTATATAAATCTAGCCACTGAAACTAATTTCTTTGATTGTGTACGTAGGATGCGTACGTTGCTGGTACAGATACATCATCATCAGTGCTTGAATGGGCAATGACTGAGCTACTATTACATCCCGATAGCCTTAAGAAAGTCCAGAATGAGGTGCGGGAGGTCCTTAATGGGAAGAAAGACATAACTGATGACGATTTGGAGATGATGACGTATCTTAAAGCCGTAATCAAGGAAACCACTCGTCTCCACCCTCCCCTTCCGATTCTACCACCACGAGTTGCACGCCATGATGTCAAAGTAATGGGGTACGATATTGCAGAAGGAACAAGGGTATACGTGAACATTTATGCAATTATGAGGGATCCTAAAGTGTGGGATCGACCCGATACATTCCTACCAGAAAGATTCTTGGATTCGCCTATTGATTTCGTAAAGCATAATTTCGAGTTACTTACTTTTGGTGCTGGAAGGAGGGGTTGCCCAGGAAGGGTGTTTGCCATGGCCATCAATGAGAAGGTTTTGGCTACGGTTCTACACAAGTTCGATTGGTCACTGCCAAATGGAGTTAAGAGAGAGGATGTGGATATGAAAGAAACTTTTGGTTTGGCTAATCACAGAAAGGTTCCGTTGTTAGCTCTTGGGAAACCTTTCTCTCCATAGATGATGCCATCAATTCTTTCTCTTTTCCTCATGGTCATTTTAATAAAATAAAAACTTCAATGATACTTTACAATGGAGTTCCTTTTTAATAAAAATCTTAGGTGATGTTCGGTTTGTTTTCTGTTAAGATCACCTATATGGATATAGTTGGTTGTATCGATATAATTGCCTATATATTAACAAATAAGTTGTTTTTCGGTTGTTGTGCTAAATAAACAGTCTGAATGTCAGAAGTGACCATTTTACCCGGTATTTATTTGTGTCTGAATAAAACACAATTTGATAAAACTGTTGAATAAATGACTTTTTAATTGTAAATTTTTGCGGATCAATTTTATTACTTCAGGTACCGATAACAAGAACAACTCTAGATCAAATGAAACCAAAATGTTGAATCAAATTTCATTACAAGAAAAATAACCTTCAAAGAAGGTATCTTTTTGTACTTAAAAGTCTTAAAAGCTTCTCTAAAGCCTTTAGATAAGCTTTTCAATTCTGTCAAATAGCTTATCTGTATAACGGTAGGTAAAGGTTTTAAGAAGGGTTTCCGGAGAGTGCGTTTTTGTTAGCCTTTAGAGACACTTATTTGAGGCTTTAGATACACGTCCAAAACTTCTCTTATGGTTAGTCAACTTTTTATTCAAAGCTTCTCTAAAAGTATATATATTAGTGAGGCTTTTAAAGTATTTATGACGATTTATAAGAGTTAATAAAAGATACTTTTAGATAAGGTAATGGGAAAGCTTCTCTAAAAATATTGGCTTTAGTGACACTTTTAAAAAATCTTCTCAAAAAGTCCTCGTTAGTTACACCTACAACATATTCTCTAAATATGATATTTAGATACACAAACTCAAAATCTTCTCTAAAAAATATCTTTAGTTACACTTTTAAAAAATCAATTCCTTCTCTAAAAATATATTATATATTTATTTCATCCATAATTCAGCTACATATATATATATATATATATATTATAATAAAATTAAACTAATACATATAAATTAATCAGGAACAAATTAATAATAATCTCAAAACAATTTAATATATATAAGAACCATCCAAATTTAATATTCAACTAGTTCATATATCGTCTAAATTGATCAACAAAAAGACATCCAAAATCATCATAGCATGTTTAACGATCTTGMGTCTTCGAACGTTGGTCTTGAACAGTTAATGAAGATGAAAAACTTGGAACTGACCGGCCGGATACAATTGACCTCACCATTTATCGCAACTCAGGGACTTCATCCTTTATAAGAAAGAGCTCGGATTTGGTTGAAGCAAGCTCGGACTCTGTTGAAGCAAGTCGATTAGGCATCTCGGTGTGGCTCAATCGACCTGACGCACCGGTGCTATGTCGCGAACTCGAAGAATCGCTCCTAGTGCTCGGGACCCTAGACCATCCCCAAATATATGCAGGTCTTTTACCTAAGACTTGTTGCATAATCTCTAGATCACCCGGAGGATTTTTTGTTGACTCAGTTTGCCGCTTAATCTCTACCATGTTCTCCTATGGACATAAAAATCATACATATAAATCTTAGTGATTTATAAAACGATGAAGACATGCAAAAGAGTTCGTTAAACGTAACTTACATATGAAGTGCGAGAATAGTCATTAACCCAACCCTCTTTTTCTCTATAATGCAACTTTCGAAAAGTCTCTATCTCACCTATAAGAGGATTGTCGGACAATCCTCTATTTCGAAAATGGTGATTTGGGGTGCTCACTGTACCGTTTATGTAACACCTCGGTTACGATTTCACCAAAACATAACATACGAGATATCATTTTCTAAGTAAACCACCAAAAGCTAATTATACTTTAATAA